AACAAAAATTTAGAAATAAAATTTTTTAAAAAACATTTAAAATAGCATAAAAGTAAGAAAATTTTAGGGCTAAATCTAGCCAAAGATTTGCAAGACTTGTATCCTTGACACTGTAAAGCATTGAGATAAATGAAAAAGACTTAAGTAAGTGGAGACATATATTCATGGATAGGAAGACTTAATATTGTTAAGATGTCAGTTCTCTCCAAAATGATATATGGATTCAATGCAATCCCAACCAAAGTCTAGCAGAAATTTTTTTTTTTTTTTGTAGATCTAGGCAAGCTAATTTTAACATTTATATGGCAAAGAAAAGGACTTAAGATACCCAAAATAATTTTGAAAAAATGCAAATTTAAAACTACAGTAATCATGACAGTGTAGAATTAGCATTCAGATAAACAAATAGACCAATGAAATATAGTAGTCCAGAAACAGATCTACACACATATGGTTAATTGATTTTTTTGATAAAGGTAAAAAGGTTATTTAGTGGAGAAAGTATGCTCTTTGCAACAAATTGTGCTGAAACAACTAGATATCCATATGCAAAAAAAAAAAAAAAAATTTATCCATATATTTTACCAATACAAAACTTTACTCAAATGGATCGTTGACTTAAATGTAAAACCTAAAGGTTAAAACATTTAGAAGACAACTTTAAAAAGACTTATAACCTCAAGAAGGAGAAGGGTCAAGTCAAGGAACATGTATGAAGGACCCATGGACAAAGCCACAGTGGGGAAGGATTGAGGATGGGAGGTGGGGGTGGGAAAATGAAGACAAATGTATTTGAACAATAAAAAAATAAAAGAAAAAAGAAGAAGATTTATAGTCTTGGATTATGCAAAAATGTCTTGGTTCTAACACCAAAAGCATAACCCAGAAAAAAATAAACTAGATTTCATAAAAAATTAAAATGGCTGCTCTTTAGAATACCCTGTTCAGAGAATGGGGAAAAAAAAACAAACCCACAGATTGGGAGAAAATATTTATAGGTCATAAGTGCTAAAAAAACTTCTATCCAAACTATGAAAAACTCTTAAAATTTAGTAATATGACAACAATTTGTCCAAAATGGACAAATTATTTGAAAGTATTCTTCACTAAAGAAAATAAGAAAATAAGTACATGACAAGATGATGAACATTATTTTATATGGGCATCAAAATAAGAGACCACCATACACATTTAATAATGTCTAAAATTACTCATTCTACCAAATGTAGAGGAACTAGAACTTTCATACATTGTTGCCTGGAACGTAAAATAGTATAAGCACTTTAGAAAACAATATGGCAGTTCTTTAAAAAGTTAAATATTCACCTATCATATGACCCAGGCCATATTTTACAGCTTTAGAAAGTGATAGATATGTTCATTAATATGTACAGTTCATTGTATGTCAGCTCTACCTCAATACTGTTGATTTTTTTTAATGCAAGCAAGAGTTGGCATACCCCAATACTAATTTCCTAGTTCAAGCTGCTTTAAAGTAAAAGTCTAGGAGCCTTTTGGGCTTTGTTTTGCTACCTTCACTGTGGAAAACGTAACACTTAAAAACAGGAAACTGATTTAATTCACCCTTAGGAAAGACATAGCTTATTTCTGTCTGGGAGGAAATATTTTAAAAATGCGCTTTTCTTTTACTATTATCTGTGGTTTTTATTTTTTTACTGTAAACATGAAATAAATGTGTTACTGAAGAAAAAGAAAAATATGACGCATTTTCTATATATATTTCCCTTTTTCACTGAACGTCCTTTTTTATATACTTAAAGAAGAATTTTAATGGATAACATTGATAACACAAGTGACTATTATCTGTGGTACAAGAATCTGCAAAGGATTTACAAAGATGTGACACTGTGAAGGAAACACAGCAAATTCAAACCACTGATGCTCTCTGACCACTAAAACCCCATAATCAGGGATTTGGGTATTTAATTATTTTATTAAGTTTCCTATTATTTTTATTCTCCTGGAAGTCTGAGGTAATAAAACTCTGTTCCTAGAGAACAAAAGCATTTGCTTTAGACACAGAATGGGTTTACTGACACATACAGTACTTTGGGCTTCTTAGTTGTTCCCTTATGGACATGAAACATCCAGGGAAGGAATGTTCTTTACTGATTTCTTAGTTTTAATATGAAGTTTAGTTTTCTCAGTCACATCTTGCACACAGTTAAAAACTTTATCTTATAATTATACAACCCTCATACATTGGTTAGTATTGTTTCCATAATAGTGCATCTTCCTGTTCAGTTTAACAAATGTTGACTGTGTGAACTAGGCTCTGTAGTTGACAGTAGAGATAAAGACAAATGAGACCCAAACCCAAGGGAACCTCTGATACAACATTTAACTTCACGATAATGAACATATGAAGAAAAAACTACAGAATGGAAAAGGAAGGCACAGAGGAGGGGCACCTACCCAAGCCCTGAAAGAAGGAATGTGTGGATTCACAGAAGGCTACCCAGAGAAGATACTGACTTATCAGAGTTAGCTTTGCGTGGCAATCTTTGCTGAGTATGATAAGTGTAAAGACTTATCTAGGCCTTTGGGAGCAATCTATATAACTACATAAAATAATTTATGTTGTATCTACTGAAAGTCCACTTTCAAAATTATGTTTGGCCAGCAAATGTTGGGCCTTCCACTGCCTTAGGGAAAGGGGGGCTTCAGCCACAGGCAGACACAACAAAATAAACACACACAAAAGATAATATTAGGTTTTTGAGTTTCCAGGGATACAGACCTGGGATTATGGGCAGTTTAAGGAATTTTTTCAAGAGAAATTTTAACTATGTGTGCTTTTTGCATTCTAACTTTTGAACTTTACAACTACATAGGAATGATTTTACTAGGCACACCACCACAAAAAAATGTCATCAAACCACAAAGACAGCAAGAGAGGAGGCAAGGAAGTAAGGATCTTCAAAAGTCAGAAAACAACAAAATGGCAATAGTAAGTCACTACCTATCAATAATTACTTAAGTATAAATAGATTAAATTCTTAAATTAAAAAGATAAGATAGGTAAATGGGTGAAAGACAAACAAGATCCAATGATAGACACTGCCTACACACACTCACTTTAGCTTTAAGGACACACACAGACTAGGAGTGAAGGGATGAAAAAAGATATTTCACAAACATGGCAACAAAAAGAAAGCACAGGCTAATGGGAGGCGGCTCTCCTCTCCCTAGTGGCTGGTAAGGTAGAGGAGCCAGGGCACTGACTGATGTGGCTCAGTTGGTTGGGCATCATCCACAAACCAAAGGATAGCCTATTGGATTCCCGGTCAGGGCACATGCCTGAGTTGTAAGTTCAGTCCCTAGTCCAGTGTGTTCAAGAGACAACCAGTTGATGTTTCTTTCCCTCTCCTTCTCCCTCCTTTCCCCCCTCTCTAAAAATAAGTAAAATCTTTAAAAAAAAAAAAGAAAGAAAGAAAGGAACCAGGGCCTCATTTTTCTCCCTCACACCCAACACAAACACCTTTTAAAAATCAGCAGATGACAGAGTAGAAATTAGGGGAAAAGCAGCCCAAGGAGGTTGCAGCTTTCCTCCAGACCTGGACAGAGGGGTCCAAACTACCCAGCTCACCCTTGGAAAGTATCTTACAGAGATTTAGAGCCACTGAAATTTGGCAAGCATGAATCTCAGTTCCCAAACAAAATCTGTTCTTCTGTCACGTCTATTTTGAGCTCCCATTCTACTGGGATCCCGGCAGAAAACCAATCTCAGTGATTATGGACATTACATCTGAGCTCCATAGAATTTACAATGCTAAGGCACTGGGGGCAGGGATCAGGGGCACAGTGTTTGGAGTTACCCGGACACTCAGCACTACTCAGGTGTCCCTCGTTCATAATCTCCTCAGGAAAGGGCGTTCACTCAGCAGTTCCTGTACCTCCCCAGGCATGGGATCTCTTCAGGGCTGCCTAAGGTCCCACCTGCCTGGACCTGCATCCCCGTGAAGCCTCACCCTCCAAGGACTTTCAGGTCCTTCCCAGAGATTTGGCTGGGGAGGAGGAGACGGGGCCCACTCTCCAGGCCCTCTGCCCCGCTCCTTCCACTGCTCTTTCCACCTCCAGGGGACTGTTGGAGGTCGGAGTTATAAGCGAGCGTACTTGCTAGGGCTGTTGTAACCAAGTACCACAAACTGGGTGGCTTCAACCACAAAAATTTATTTTCTCAGTTCTGGAGGCTCGAAGTCTGAGATCAAGGCAGCAGCAGGGCTGTTTTTCTCTGGAGGCTATGAGGGAGAACCCGTCATGCCTCTCCCCTAGCTTCTGGTGACTTGCTGGCAATTTTGTTTTTAAGAAGCATCTCTGATCTGATGTTTGCCTTTGTCTCCACATGGCGTCCTCCCTGTGTGCATGCATGTCTAGCCCCAAATTTCTATAGACACCAGTTACATTGGATGAGGGGTTCACCCTACTCCAGTATGACTTCATTTTAAGTAGTTACCCCTGCAACAATCCTATTTCCAAATAAGTTCACGTTCTGAGGAGATTAGGACTTCAACATATGAATTTTAAGGGAACATAGTCAACCCATAATGGGAAGTGAGCGATTCATGGGATAAAAGAATTATTCCTTCTACCCCTTATTCCTGCTTCTCCTTTGCATAAAATGTTTTATCCAAGCATTTAGGCTATTCCCTTAGGACCTCATTTCTTTAAGGATTTTAGGCTTTTGGAAACAAGGTAAGGGCTTTCCTTTTATTTTGCTTTCTCCCTGAGCAACTGCACAAACAGCTTAGTCATTTGAACCCAAGCAAAAGGAAAAAAAAATCAAGAAATCAGTCCATATTTCACAGATACTGTCCTGCCACCTCGGTGAGCACCCCTGTTCCTGGAGTACTGCAGAGGAGCTAGTGCGGGGAGGTTTTGGGGGTTCCAGATTCCAGCGGTGTCTTCTCTGCAGATGAAAATTGACAGTCAACATCACTCCCTCACGAGTAAGGAGAGGGACAAGGTTTTAAAAACACATTTATTTTAAAATTTTACATAATCTTTGGGTAATTCAGAATTAGCTTAGGCATTTTTCATAAGTTTCTGAGATTGATGTCTCCAAACCATGTCAATAGCTATTTGATTGGTGAAAGGATTAGAGGACCTGATGAAAAGGGATGAAGAAAAGAGCCCTTAGAGACAGAGGCTTCCCTAATTTTTAAGTTACCTATAGCAAATGTTAAACATCTTGACAGACCAACAGTATTTGCATTTTACCAGTTTCTACATAGAGCACAGAATCACACTTAAATTAATTTCATCCCTTATATTAATAACTAAAAGCTAGTATCTACCCAGTGTAGTTTCAGTGTCCACGCCAGCATCTATCTCCTGCTGACGGAGTGACACCTTCCTCTGCACTCAGTGCTCATGATTCAACGATTGCAATGAGTGTGTCAAATAAGAATAAAAAGCAAGTCAAGAATTCATGGGCCCCAGAAGACAGACGAGACTAATTCTACACAGCACTCAGCCCATCCCCAAGCAGAAACAGGCCTGGGATACAGGCAGGAAGGAGGAGGGTCATGTTCTTCCCCCTCCACTGCCTCAGATAGTTTCCTGGGTGTTCCAAACAAGATTAATTGTTGTTTCTGAATAAGACAGTTAATTCCCTAAGAACAGGGCCCCAGCTCTAGCCTCCTTCAAACCAGGGAGCTGCCCAGGTGTGAGAACAGAGCAGGTCCTTAGCAAGGGAAGGAAGGAAGCTGCCATGTACAAAGCACCTGTTAGGTGCCAGGAAGAGATCAGGTGTCCCATGTGACCCTCCCAATGGCCCTGGGAAATAGGCCCATCACCCCCATTTTACAGATGCAGAAACAGGCTCAGACAGGAGAATTGGCCCATGGTGGCATAGCTAGTAAATGGGAGAACTTCAATTTGAAAACCCAGGGCTTCTTGCTCCAGGCTCTGTCCACTGCCTCTCAAAGCTGATTGATTTGCTATAGGGAGTACTCCAGCTCCCAGGTGGTTGGTCCAGAGCTCAAATAGTAGAGGCCCTTGAGCACAAGGGGCCCGCTTCCCAAGTTCAGAAGCCTGGGGCCAGGAGACCTGGCTCTGCAGCATTACTCAGGAACGTCAAGTAAGTCCTTTACCTCAGTGGCCCCCAGCCTTTTTGGCACCAGGGACTGGTTCCATGGAAGACAATTTTTCCACTGACTAGGTTGTGGGGGATGGCTTTATAACCTGCCACCAGATAGAACTCACCACTTGCCACTCACTGATAGGGTTTTGATATGAGTCTGCAAGCGATTTATTATGGTCTTTGTGCAGCCTCACCTCTCTGCTAATGATTATCTGTATTTGCAGCTGCTCCCCAGGGCTAGCATCACCGCCTCAGCTCCACCTCAGATCATCAGGCATTAGATTCTCCCAAGGGGCGCATAACCGAGATCCCTCACCCACTCAGTTCACAGTAAGGTTTGCGTCCCTATGAGACTCTAATGCCTCACTGATCTGACAGGAGGTGGAGCTCAGGCGGTAATGTGAGCGATGGAGCAGCTGTAAGTACAGATGAAGCTTTGCTCACTTGCCCGCCACTCACCTGCTGTGGGGTCTGGTTCCTAACAAACATTGGTCTGTGGCTTGGGGGTTGGCGACCCCCAGGTACTGCTTTACCTTCTCCACACCAGGCACTGGAGCAGTCCAGGGTGGTTCTCCACCGGGGGGGGGGGGGGGACTGGAAGGTGAGCAAACCATTTAAAAAGCCTGTCTGCAGACACAGTGGAGGGGCTTCTGCTGGGAGACTCTGTCCCTAACCCCTTGCTAGAAAGGCAGAGGGCAAAGCCATCTATCCACCTTGCGAGAATTAGTTATGGTCTCCAAGGTTCTGACCTCTGAGAGCAATTTTAAGTTCTCAGGAACCGCATCCCCACTCCCTGAGAGACCTTTCACAGAAGGCCCATGAAGGTCAAAGAAATCGAGTCAGGATACTTTTAAGGGAGAAAATGCTTAGAAGTAACCTGGGAGGGGGAAGACCACTCTGAAGGGAATACACAAGGTGGCAGTTAGGGGGACATATGAGGGTGGGTGTTAAAAAGGAAAAGGTGGATACAGTGTACAAACCCAGCTAGTAGCATCAGGTCAGAGCTGACCTAGCTGAGCCTGGAGAAATCAGGCTTTGGCAACAATCTTGTCTGGAATTTGCCATGGGTCTGCACTTGCTCCCTCAAACATGGATTGGGGTTTTCATCAGAAAATAATTTGAGCCTGTAAATTCAGGCAGATCTTAAAGAATAAATACGGATAAATAAAGGCAGAAAGGAAAACACAACTCAAATGACTCCACGAAAATCTGTTTGGCATGTCTCTCCTCTTGCTCTGAGGTCCACTCTGTGACCCTAGCTCTGTGAAGCCCCCTGTGACCTACAGACACAGAAGTGTGTGCCCCTCTTCTCAGCAAGTGTGGGCGCAGGGACAGACAGCACAGCAGCCAACCTCCCTCCAGCCAGGCCCCCGAGCACTAAGCTCACTGCATCCTGCCTGTCTGCCACTCCCACTGAACTGTGGGCAACTTGAGAATGGAGACTGCATGTTCCTGTCCCTCCAGCTCCATGTGGAAAGGAAGATGAGTTCACCAAGACCCTCTGCACATAAGCACCCAGGCTGAGGACCAGCCCCACCAGCCTGGACAATAGGAATACAGCCTCTCCCAGGGTCATAGACCTTAGGGGCATCTTTGTTCTGGAGGAACCGAGCAGCATGTTTCCTACGCCCTATACCGCCTTCCCCAGAGCCAGCCTTTCCTAGGCACAATCATAATTTGGGATAATTTGTTCAAAACATGAAATCAATGTCTAGGTGCAGATTTCAAGCAATATGGAGGGCTGGTTTGTGAAAATAACATCATTCAGGTGGAGAAAACAGCCCAGCTTTGGCAGCCTTGTTTGGAAAGGTGGGTCTTGCATTTACCCGTGTAGAAGGAGGTAGGGACTCTGTCTGGAAAGAGTGCTAGGTGTGTGTGTACATGGGTGGCAGGGGCTCTGGGCTCACACACATCTATGGCTATAGGGCAGGCTGGACCTTGTTCCTCGCCCTTGGGTTTCTGAAGCTCCAGGGCCCTTGCTGACAGAAGGCCTGGAGTGTAAGGAGCAGGCAGGGATTGTTCAGAAACATGGCCCTTCCCAGACCCAGGGCAGCCAAGAGATGGGCTGTCAAAACGCCCAATGAAGGGTGAAGGCGCCTGGCCAGGGACCCCACATCAGCAGCGAATGCTCCGGAAACCAGGCAGTGTGGCTTTTCCAAGGAGGTAAATGTCCTCGTCTTTGCCCTGGTTGAGGTACTTCACCATATTCTTCTCAAAGAGAAGTGGGTGGTAGGCACCCATTGTGCAGGCGCTGTCAAAGAACTTCTGGTAGTAGTGGCACACATCAGTCTTGCGCTTGGATGGGAGAAACTCATAAATATCCACCTGGTCACACAACGTCATCATGATGATGATACCTGGGGCGGGGAGAGGGGGAACAGAGGGTAAGTCCTGCCCGACAACCCATTGCACACCTTGGAGCTCTGTCCAATGGGTCCACAGCTCATGACCCCGAATTTGGGGAGATGTCTATCTGGATTTTCTAGTTATCAGTATGATTCCAACCTGAGTCCTTCTGGTAAGTGAAGATGGCAGGCTGTTCTTTGAGGATCACTGAGCCAGATGCACCTTTGTATCCCCAACATGTAGGCCAGGACCTGGTACATGGTAGGTACCCTCTAAACACTAGCAGACTGAAGGGCTCCCTCCATCAGTCAATGAGTTTACCAATGTGAATAAACTGCATGAAGAGATAAGGTAACTGAGAAGACAGTTTTGAAATGGGGTACTGAGCTAGAAGTCCCCCCAAAACAGAGAAGTCCCCCACAAACCTGGCGTGGGGGTTGGGAAAGCTTCCCACACCTGTGTCAGAAGCAGGAAGCCCCTGTGAGAGACAGGAGGCTCTGGGAGACATAGGAAGTTCGGGGTGAGTATTTAAACTAAGCACGGGCAGCCGCCCTCTCTCTTGGCCATGCAGGTTGAAAGGGTGCATCTGGGATTAAGAGCCAGAGAACACGGCAGCATGGATGACAATGCTGGGAACTGAGGGACCTGCGTGCCGAGCACAGATTACTGGGAGAAGCCAGGAATGCTGAACTGGGGCCGGGGGAATGTTAAGACTCAGACTTTTTTTTTCCTCCTGAAAGATGGTACCTCGCCTGGCATATTCTGAAACTGGCCTGATTTGGCAGAAGGGAGGCAGAAGTGTGTGAGTATGTGCATTCGTGGGTATTTTAAAGGGAGTGGGACTTAACGGCAGAATTCTGCCATTATTCTAAATCTGTATAACTTTTAAATAAACAATTCTTTTCCTTTTCACCAAACTCTGGCATTGAAAGTCGTGCTTTTGGTGGCAAGCAATTGGGCCCACATGTCTGTTTCAAAACTGCATAGGCTGGGATTCTGTAACAGTAGCATCACACATGCATAATACTTTCTAGCACTTTTATATCCCAGAGGAACCTCTTAGATGGTGCTATTTGGAGGAGGTGTTTCTAATGGTACTTGCAGGAAACAGTGTGGAGAAGAAGACTGTCCTTCCCTCAGGTGGGAGGAGGGATATTGGAACAGGTGCACCCCATGGTCTGTGTTGATGGGCTCTGCTCATTCAGCCAGGAGACTAGAACTGAGGGGTGGGGCCAAGCTGGTGCTCTCAAGGATGTGGTGCAGACACTGAGATGCAAACCAACAAGAGGCAGGAGGCCAGTGCTACCACCCACACTTGTCCCCACCTGGCTCAGTCATCTCATGCAGGACACATCCTTCTCTGGGCCTCAGGTTCTTTGTCTGCCCCAGGAGGATGATCGACCTACTCCTCCTACCATACAGACTGTTGTTAGGATGCAATAAGTTCATGGCCCTAAGACCGCTGCTCCCCCCGCCCCAGCCCTTTTGTCAACCATAACTATAGGGAATCTTTATGACAGAGCAGTTCCCACTAACAGCAACACTATAAACTGCCAGCAGAGACTTTGTTACAGAAGAATCAGATATGGGGAGAGCTCTCCCTTTGCTCTCTGGCTGCCCCTGGTCCAATGGGAGAGGAAAGACACCTCTGCAACTAAGAAGTGCTTCTAGAAATTATGGGACAGAGCACTTCCTATGAGCGAGGGCTCTGGTAAACCTCTCGGATCACGGGGGTGGGGACTAGCAGGGGCTATGGCCCTATGACCGTGAGGGATTGGCAAGAGGGGAGGACTGCCAGTGGAAAGAGCAGCAGGGGCAAAGGCAAGAAGTAGGGCGACGAGAGAATATGTTTCCCACGGTGGTTCCCCAACTATTCATGCTCAAAAGGGCCCTAGGATGAGCCCCCGATGCACCCACCTAAAAGCTGAAGAGAAAAATATGAAGATGTGAAATGGAAAGAGGGCCCATCTCACTCTCTAAGGAGCACTTCTCATATTAGACACATACTTGTTCATTTACTCAGGGAGCATTTACTGAAGGGCTGTCTTGGGCCAGACACAGGAAGGATGAGTCAACCGCAGGTCCCACCCTGAGGGAGTTTTTGGTCTAATGGTGTGGGGGGTCGTGGTCCCCACCCTGAGGAAGTTTGCAGTCTATTTGGGGAGGTCACAGTCCCCACCCTGAGGGAGTTAGCAATCTAATAAGGCAAGTGGGTGGGTAGATTATTCAATGGTGAGTAGCTTGGGCCATCAGTGAGAACGTGGTCCAGGGAACGTGGTCCATAGCAGGGAGCTGCCCTTCCTGTGCCCATAGCCCATGGTCCAGCCATAGTTACAGTGAAAGAGAGGGCAGACGTTTCACAAGGGCCAAGAGGACGAGAGAAAGTCCGAGAAGAAAGTGTGCAGCCAGCATTCAGGGCCCTCTGTGCGTACTCTGACCCCAGCCCACCTCCCATCAGCCCCCGCAGCTCCCGTCAGGGCTCCAAAGCCCAGTCGAGCCTCACCGCTCATTCTGTCAGGGCCATAGCTAGGTGCTCAGGCGTGAATAGTTTTTTTGAAATTTTGAATAAAAGATTACTGATTCTCCTTTTATTCTCAGATTTCACTATGGCTCAGCATGATACTATTACTGAGCCTGTCTTTATTTAAAATTTTGATATTTCATTCGCCATAACATTTTTCATTAACTGTGATTTTTAAAAAGATATTAAGATACTATATTGTTACTAAACTTTTTGGCACCCCTTTCAACTGCACGCCTGACCCAGCCCTGCTGCTCCTGTGCTCCCGCCTCCCCTTTGGTCGGTGTGCTCTCCTGTACTCCATTTCCCCTCGCCAGATCTGCCCCTCACAGGCCTGACCCAAGTCTACTCCCCCATGAACCTCTCAGACTGCCCACCTATAGGGCGTCCTGTCTCCTGTGGCCCTCGGTGGCTGCTCCCTGATGGCATACATTGAATGTTGTCTCAGACAACGGACTGAACTCTCCCACCGAACACTCTAAAAAGCATTAGACAGTAAAAAATGTTAGATAATGTTAGTTAGATAGAAAAGGATAGATAGCACACCAAGGCAGGGAGGAGGAGGGAGACATGTTCCGTCCGCTAACTCAGCCGTCCTAAGCCTGGTCTGATAATGTTCCCAGGTGCTCCAAGAATCACAAGACACCATGTTAACAAGGGAGGTGGGGAGCCTTTGACATTCTATGTATCCTTTCCACCATTTGGGAAAGAAAGCCTTTGAAACTGGGTATTCATCCCAAGGCCTAGAAGGGGGACGGGGAGGGGCCCACAGGGCCCAAAGAAAAAGCCAAAAAGCCCATAAAACAACTTTGGTTAATTGCCTGCCTCTGCTCACTTTCTGTTTTACGAGGCAGTCCCTAAGGCTTACAGAAAGAGCCCATAAATAACTTTGGGTAGCTGCCCCAGCTTTAATTAACTGCCTCCTGTCACGTACCTATTTTACAACAAGATAAACGAATGGGGTCTGACTGCGCAAGATAAGGATTAAGGCTAACAGATGCCCCCACATACCTAAGTTGGGGTAGTCATGTTTCCCCGGGAAAGCTGGGACCACTTTTACCCGTCAATCAATATGTAACTTCTTCACCTCCATCTTGTCAATTATTTAAGTCCTCAGAACAAAGGACCTGACGCTCTCGCCACACCCGCTCTTGCCACGCCCTGAACCTCTGCCTTTCACTGCTCCCCACCTTAGCGAGGCCCATTCTCTCCCATGAGAACCCTGCCTGCACACTAATAGACTTGCTGATCTGTAATTCTTTACTGCATCAGCAAGAAAAACTAAATTTCTCCTATAACAAAAGGATTCTCTTATTAAGTTCTGTACCTTAGCTAAAACTTGGCACAGTGTACAAACCCAGCAAAAACCCAGCAACTATTTGGTGAGTGAACGAATGAATAGATGAGTGAATGAGACCCCAGAAGAAAGCTCACCTTTCCTAGAAACAAGCATAGGAGGGACAAGCATGGTGGACTCACCAAGCATCCCAGAGGATGGGGGATTTGGCTGAATCTCCTCTGTGGAGATTTCCTGAATGACGTCCCATAGCTCCCAAGGCATCTGGGGTCTGAGGATGTAAAAGGGCTGCTCAGGATGTAGCTTACGGTAGCTCTTGTAATTATCAAAGAACCTGTAGTCGGGATTCTTGTACCACTGCAAAAGAAGGAAATGGTCTCAAGGAGAGAAATGGGCCAGTGCCGCTGCTGCCCCTAGGCAGTCATCCCCATCTAAGAACCCTGCGGGGAGGTCGAGAAGCACAAGGCGGAACCTGGAGACACAGCCCCTTCCTAGGAAGAGGTTCCAGACCTCTCTTCCACATCACACATCACAGCTCTCACTTGACAGCAGGGGACCCACCATGTAGCCTGTGCTCACAGGGAATTTTGAGCTCGGTGGCCCTGGAACACCTTCAGACTTTAAGATCATAGAATCGGGGAATGATACCAGTGCAGCAAAGGGCCCCTGGCACCATCTAATCCCACTCTCATTGTTTAAAGGGGTGAAAACTGGGATGCAGCTTGTCACAACTGTAGGTTCAGAGTCTTTGTCCTGACCCGGGCAAATTTCAGTTTTAAGCTAGATTAGCAGAAAACTGTAGGAACTAAGATAAAGAGGGTGTGAAGGATCACCAGAGCCTGTCAGCTATTGCTAAGTCCAACAGTTCTCTCTGGGCTCCCTAAAGCCATGCTTCGGTGGCCACTGCAGCCCCCATCAGAGAGAGGCCAACGGACAGGCATGACAAACAGTGGGAGGCCGTTCTGGAGAGGCTGAGTCCAGCAGGCCTGAAACTCCCGTCTTCTTCCCTGAACGACCTGGTGTTACAGATCTGGTCCTTTGCTTAGAAAATCAAGTCCTGGAGCAGGTGACTTTCCCTCTCTGCAATCCAGTTTCCTTATGTGTAAAATGGGAACTATGTTTCTATCTACTTTCTCATGTTGTTATAGGGGTGAAATGAGAATCCTGGAAATGGAAAGTGTGGGACAGGGATAGTTCTGAACTGCCAGTCCAGATGAAGTAGGGGGCCCTAAAACTGAAACAGCCAGTCCTCGGGGACGGCCCAGGTCAGCCACGAACTGGAAAACCCAGAACTCAGGAAAAGCTATAGGCAAATGGGAGATTCAATCGCCATTTCCAAAGGACATCCACTTACCTTTGGGATATCTGAATGGTAAACAGATGGGTCCCACACAATTAGGATTCCTTCATGGTACAAACTGTCTTTGAGGAAGTTCTGTTCTGTGGTGACCAACTGCAAGAAGAAACAGACAAGCTGTCACTTGGACATTTACATTGTTTGATTTGGATCACATCCCAAGGACTACCTGAGGCTTCAGAGCCCCATGAGGCTTCTCAGTTTTCTTGCAGCACTTAACTTCAGTGAAAAGAAGGCAAAGATGCTGGCACTGTGTGGCTCTGAGAAGGCATTTTGTCATAATCAATGACCATAGAGCAGAAGGTTCCACTTAGACTTTGAGATTACTGGAGCGAGGGTTCAGTGAAAATGGCTTGCATGTAGTCCACTGCAGTTGTACCTCATTAGGGGGCCAAAGGGGTTAGGTTTAAAGTCAGAATCTCATATAATCAAAATAATCTCTGGAAATCCTTTAACTCGCTTATAAAATCCAGTACATAGTATTTACACATCATGATAGAGACAGACATAGAATGTAGTAGAATGACAGCATGAGTTCAACACAGCCAACGGTCTCTGCAGTGTCGGAATGGGTGGCTGTGTCTGTGGTAGAGCACCAAAGGAAGCCGTCAGCATGCGTGTAGGGGGCATGGTATATGCAAAACATGCACCTCTAATGAGGAGAACCTCACCAGGCTAGTGAGATGCTCGTGCGTAACCTGCTAGACACCAGTCACAGCTCCTCTGCTCCCCCACATTCCCAGGCTCCCAGACTGGCCTGCATGTGGTAGTTTAACCCAGCTGGGCAAAATATGACCCTCGTAAGGCCCCTGAGACAACCATGCTGAATCAATTTTGAAAAATGTATTAACATGCTTTAAAAAATAGTATGTATACCCTTTGATGCAATAATTTCACTTCTTTGGCATTTATCCTAAGAGGATCTATATTTGGGGAGGAATCATGCACAAAAATGTTAATTAAACTACTTACCAACATAAGAAAAGTGTGGTGGCAGCAGGTGAAAGATACTAGGATTGGATACAGAAAGACCTGAGCCCAGTTCTTGGCTTTGTTGCTAACTTATCGGGTGACCATGAGCAAGTCAGGTAATCTCCCTCGGCCTTCATGCTCATCGGATGGGGTACAGGAATGAATGAGAAAGACAGAAATAGGGCCCCAATATTTACAGAAGCCAGGTCCCTCTTAAGAACTCCAAAACCGATATATGAGATCAGCTCTCAGACATTCACCTTAAAAAGCACGTGGGAGATGATGTTGCCTGGGTAGAAACTGAGAGGAACAAATGACAGAAATCAAATCAAGAACTGACTGAAAATGAAAACAAGAATCACAATAACCCCTCCCCACCTGGATCACCATCACGAAGACAGAGACCTAATCAATGGGATGGCAGATAGTTTGTGTACAACCCAAAGAAGAACAGCAATTTGCCACAAGCCTCTTAGGTCATTTGGCTACCTCATCTCCATACCTTCCCCCAGATGTAGGAAGGCCCTGGAAGCCTAAAGAATATAATCCTGTTTCCTCAGTATATCTTGGAGACAGGAAGTATGGATGATGGGTCCACCTTTGGCCAGGGATTGTGCAGTTGTACTGGGTGCAGTCACAGGCTGTCAGGGTAAATACATGTTAAGGGGCAAACAAGAATAGTCCTGGCTGGTGTTGCTCAGTGGATTGAGCACTGGCCTGTGAACCAGAAGGTCATTGGTTTGATTCCCTGTCAGGGCACATGCCTGGGTTGCAGGCCAGGTCCCTGTTTGGGAGCATGTGAGAGGCAATCGATTGATATTTCTCCCACACACTGATGTTTCTCCCTCTTTCCTTCTCTCTCCCTTCCCCTCTCTCTGAAAATAGAAAGGAAGGGAGGAAGGGGGGGCGGGGGAGAGAGAGAGAGAGAAGAAAAGAAAGAAAAAGAAAGAAAGAAAGGAAAAGAAAGAAAGAAAGAAAGAGGGAAAGAAGGGAGGAGGGAGGGAGGAAGGAAGGAATGAAAGAAAAGAAAGGAAAAGAAAAGAAAGGAAAAGAAAAGAAAAGAAAAGGAAAGCAAAGAAAAGGAAGGAAGGGCAAGCCAAGTCACGGGAATGTGCCAGCCAGAGAGAGGCTGTCCAAAACAAAAGAAGAAACAATATGCGCAAATCTCCAGATGTGAGAATATGTGGCAAGGTGTCACCCAATATCCATTCTCTTTCTTCCTTGGTAACAAGCACTTCTGATGTTTACCTCAAAACGTTAATTAAAATAAATACTACTATATAATACTGAATGTAAACTGTAACTGAAAAAAATATATAATTAAAAATAAATACCCATATTTTGCCATGTAGAATGTGTACTTTTGTCCCCAAATTTTTGAAAGAAAAATAAGAATGCATATTGTACATGGGTATAATGATTACATACTATGGGTATGATGATGTCATGTATAATGCACATAAAACCATGGGTGCGCATTATACATGACAAAATATGGTAAATAAAAAGAATAGAGAAAATGAAAATAAAATAGACTATCTGAAATAAAAATTCCCCAGCCTCTGACAGCTAAAATTCTGGCTAATGATGTATAAGCAACTGAGACTTCCAGGAAGTGTCCTTAGAGGCAGGACACTTGTTCCTTCCTCCTTCCTGCTGGATGAAAGCGTGTGCGGTGGCTGGAGCTTGAGCCGTCATGATGGACCATAAAGTAGAAGTCACATGGTGGAATGGCAAATGCACAAGGTAGTTGGAGACTGTGTTCCTGCCCTTCTGGGACACCATAGCAGCTCTGAAATGTCTACCTTCTTCTTCTTCCTCTTTTTTTTTTTTGACATGACAGAGGAATACGTATCTTATTAAGCTAGTGTTAAGAGGTAAGCAGAGTATACATGTCACTTGAAGTCCAACCTAGTTCTAGTTAGCACTGAGTAGCTTGTTTGGGAATTTCAGGCTCTCCGGCTGTGGCTAGGGTACAATGGGAGAGCTAGAAGGGGTCAGAGACATTTAGGCAGGGGCCATCCAAGGGAACTTAGGGCTTCTTCAGTAGATTACAGATACGGTAGGCAGGATCTAAACAGACTAGTGTTCTAGACTAGAGCTTTTAGAGAAAAGGAGACCAGATAGAAGCTGTTGTTGTAGTCTAAGTAGGAGAATAATGAGGAAGAGTTACAACTCTCAGTTGTAGGCTTACAGACTGAGTGTTAAAAGTGAAGAAAAATGGGTCAAAGGTGACTCTGGGACCTCAAGCCATTTCTTAAAATGAGAACATAGAAAGAAAAGCAAGTGCTATGTGCCTGATGAGACAAATGGCCTAGAGTCTCACCGCCCAGAGGCCACAGGAAACAGGAATGGAATCCACATCTTCCAGTTTTAAGAGCTGTCCTCTTTGCATGGGGCCACTGTAACTCGCAGTATAGGCACTCAATGCTGTAGTCCAAAGGCAGAGCAGGGGTCCCAGCAGACAGGGCTTTGCAAGATTGAGCTGGTGATAGCAAGGCCCAGGGGACAGCAGGCCTCCCTCCCACTCTTCTACACATGTCTTCCAAGACAAAAGTCTACAACTTCACTCCCCACCCCCATCCCACTCCATCTCCCCACAACACTGGCATATTGAAAGCATACATTTTTTTCTAGAGCTCTTCTTCTTTCTATGCAGAGTACTGATATCAGGTGATTTATAGCACTCATGAGGATTAGAGATAACTGGGATTTTTAAAAATGTTTCCTTCTAGAAGCCACAGCCCCTCTCCAACAATTTTCTTAGTATACAAAGGAGGAGGCCAGGGGCAGCAATTTCTGGCACCCTGAAACTTTCCCAGCATCTGTGGCTCCATATCCTCAAAAATCTCGAGAGGCCCAAAATTTTCTCATTTACAATAAAGGATAACAAGTAGCAAGGATGACAACAGATGTCATTTAATAGTGCTTATTCTAAGCCATATTTTCATATATTATCTCCATTCATTTTCATATCAGCCCCAGAAGGCAATTATTAATATGCACATTTTTATAAATAAGGAAATACAAATGTAAGTAATTTGCCCATGCCAAGTTAGGAAGTAAGCGGGGCGTCTGAATTTGAGCCCTTTTGACTGACATATTTCGAATCTACACTGTGCACTGCCTCATGCAAGGAGGGTGGGGTGGGACACCCGTGGCTCTTCAAGGAAATAACAAAGAAAGCTTGTGATGAGGGGTATGAAAGTGTCATGAGAATTTTGCTTTTTGTCTGACTTGTGTGTCACAGCTGAAGATCCTTGAGAGACCAGATCCAAATCCATCATTTTCTGAAAGGTAAACTGAGGTCCAGAAAGAAGAGCGATTATCTGAGGCTTCAAGGTAAGTTTGAGGCAGAGCCAGGACCAGAGGTCAGCTCCTGCCAAAGGTCCTTCTGTTCCCACAGAGGTACGTTCATAAACCACAGGATGTTAAAACAAGCCAGCACACTATCAGAATCTGAGCTACCCCAGGTCTCACTGCACCCAAAGGAGAAATGATCATTCACTTGAGCTACTTGAGGCAAATAAAAACACAATTCATAAAACTGAGAAAAGGTAAAGATAAATGCTAGTTTCATCCAGAAGGAGAAATAGAAAATGGCCAAGGCCAGGATCTTGTGGACGAAAAGGGGGGAATCCAACAAGTACCCCTCAATTTTAAATAGTCGTTACTCTGAACTTATCCCATTAACTCCGGCAGCCCTGCGTGTGACACTCAGAGTTCCTCAGAGGGCAAAAAAGCCTCGAAACTGCTCAGGAAGTTGGGAGAGTGTTTTGAGTATAACTCAGTCCGTGTTCTTAGGTGGGTCACTCCCACTCTCCAGGCCTCAGGTCCCTTATTTATAGGACACTGCCATCCTGGGCAGGTGACCAACTGTGCCCAGAGAACATCTCAGTCTGTCTTTTCTTTTTGAATGCAGCAGAAGGGACTTGGGAGAGAATACAGCTCCTCTCAAATGCACCTCAACTTACCTATGGGCAGAGACTGGTCTGAGTTCAGGGAACCCTGGGAACCTTATGGTGAGGAGAGTAAGTCATTGCCAGAGCAGTGGATCCCCAAGAAACACCTGCCAGGTAAAGGCTACACCAGGGAGATGGAGCATTGCTATTTTAGTAACCTGT